CGTGCAGCTGTGGAAGAGCATACATCGGCACCACAAAACGAAGCATAAACACTAGGATCACGGAGCACAAACGAAGTTGCAGATTGGGACAAACGTAAAAATCAGCAGTAGCGGAGCACGCACTGCTAGACGGCCACCAAATACGCTTCGACGAAGTTGACATTCTGCACCAATCTGAAAGATACTACCCGAGACTCACCAGAGAGGCCATCGAAATATTTAAACACCAAAACAATTTTAACAGAAAAGAAGAAATTACGGCACTCAATCCAGATTGGAAGCGCGTTTTGCGCCAAACAGCATGTGCGCCGAAGCGTTGGAACCCCCACCCATCCCCCACGCATGAGCACACACGGCTGGGTTGCATAAATACGACGGGGAATCCAGCAGTTGAATCAGTCTTAGTCGGAAAGCACGGGAGATCACTTCGCCCACTGCCTCATCGCCTTTGAAAATGTTCACCGCAGTTGTGGACGAAACGTCAGGAATAAATTCCGATAGACCACGGCTTCAAAGCCCGGAAAACATTCCTAAATGTAATTTAACCGGCCGTGAAAGCCTTCATAATCAGAGTAATAAGAAAATACCTTTAAAAAACGTTTAGAACTTCTAGAAAGCCGCCTGACTCTTAAGTAAGCTTCAGGTTGTCATAAATTCGTCCCATCACGTAAATCAAAGTTTTAAGTATAAGTTCTATTGGTGCTTCTGAAATTGAAAACAATAAATTTAACAAATAAAAATAAATTCTGCTGAAACCTCGCGGCCAGTGTCTGTATAAAGTCCAAATATAGTGCCTGTAAGTGCATTATTAACAGCCTCATCAAAATGAGACGAGTTTGCCAGACAAAAAATAAAAAATATCAAAAATGTATTAGAAATATGATAAATCACATATTGAAATATTGACAAATCTGTTGGTTTTCGGAAAGTTTGTTGAAGTTCCGAAAACCAACTGAAATTTTAACTCATGTTCTTTTGAATAACCATGAAAAACCAGTTGATGTTTGAGTAAGCCTACGCCTGCTTAGAATAGTGGCTTTTTATGGTGTAAGTGGTGTTTATTTTTAAAGAAATAAAAAATGTAGTTAATGTAGTAAACGCGTTTGTGTTTTGTCCCTTAAAATGAGTATTGTATTGTTGAGAGTTATTAGTCTAGGCGGAAATGCAAGATTATACATATAGTAGCAAGCTGGATGTGTTCAAGTATTAGTTAATAAATTAAACTTTGATTATTGTATTGTAAAAGTTTTGCTTGTAACAGGCAATATCCAATTTGTCTACTCCAAGCAACAACAGTGCACAGCTCCAACCATCGAGAAGGAATAGCGTTAGTACCTCCACCACTTTAGGGTATGTTTGAAGAATGGTACATTCCATAGCACTATATTCTTACAATTAAACAAAGTATGCAATGGAAATAAGCCAATTACTTTCAGGGTTGGATCCGCGCATTCAAAACCCCAAGAAGTTACAACTCCCGTATCTCCAAACCAACGATTATCCTTAAGTCCACAAACTCCTTTCCAGCAAACCTCTCGGATTTATTCGCCTCAACAACAGCAACACCAAGCTCTTAATCTTTTTGTATATGGGAATGATATTGATTCTGTAGATGTTGCAACTCGAATAGCTATGGTAAGCCTTATCACATTTAATCTATTTATTATATGTTGTGTACTAAAAACTTATAAAAAAATTAATTTTACGCTAACAAGCCAATACTATTAAATCTAACAGCTCACATAATCTTCTGAAGAAACGATTAATTTCACGAATTAAACGAGAATGAAAGCGTTAAATATCTGAACAAAAGAATAAACCTCCACGGGCCGCGAAATAAATTGTATTCAAGGATTATTGATGACGGCACTAAGGTCTTACTCGATTTTCTATCAACACTTAAAGATGTGAAACGGTTCTGGTGAAACTAAATCTAGCACCTTTCTATCGATACATATTTTGATAACTGTTTAAACTTACAAACTCTCATTATATAGCCTTAATGCGTTTGGTTTTAATTTAATACTATCAATGCTCCAGCGAAAATATCGAATTTATCCTATATTCATACATCTATCAGAACAAAAATTTGTACTGATTTTACAATATGTATCAATAATATTCAGTTAAGTTCTGTTGTTTTTTGAAAATTGTAAAAATGCACTTGTAACCGAAAAGCCTTCACATTGTCGTCTTTCGTCTAAAGTACAAGGTAAAAACGGCCGTAGAATATAGTTTTGCAATTAATTTAATGTCTGATCTTACTCGGCTAATAGAGAAATGCTGGAGAACGATGTACCGTTCTCTATTGTTATAAAACTGTGCGAGTTGCAAGAACGTCCTTAAACATTTAATTCGAATGTAACAGAAGTAAACAACACAGTATTCAAAATTTGGTAGTTTCGCTAATTTCTCTCTTTTGGATCAGATCCCTCCGAGGATTAATGTTTCAACGTTTCTGAGGTCCAGTTCTCTCAAAGAGGAACATTTCCATTTCATATCAATTCAGTAAAAGACCAAATGACCTAAGCAATCCCCATTACAGCAGAAATATTTTCAGGCCGTTACCTACACATCTTATCGTTATAGACTATACCACAAAAATTGCAGAAATACAGTATACAATCATAACTGAAATATTTTGTAGGTTCGATTTTTCAACTCGGAAAATGTTCTGGGCAACTTTACGGAACATACCAGAACATTGAGACTTTACCCACGCCCAGTGGTTGGTTTTCAAGTAAACACTTTCCTCAAGTCCAAACGGCGAGTTTCAATGTTCCTGAAGAGATTCTGTAGGTCTCAAGCTGTCGAATTTTTGGCAGAGTGGTCTCTTACGCCAAACAACGTAGCTTTCCAAAGAATCCACACTGGAGTTGAAGATCCGGCATTAATAGGAGATAAACCCAAATGGTTTTTGCACACATTGGAACCTATTAAGTTTGTTGTTTGGGACGATGCAAGTTCACTGAATGGTATGTATGCATTAATATATCTCAATAAATATGAATATTTACTTCTACACAATGAAGAAGAATTGATGGAATAAGGGAATTGAAATTTCTGCATAAAAAACGGTTGTAGGTGCCTTAAGAAGCGTACAAGTGCAAGAGAATCAACCAACGGACGAAAGCGGATCTGACTCAGAAGAAGGTGAAAGCACAAGTTCCAGTTACTCGTCGCTTAGTGACTTTGTGTCCGAGATGGTGTCTTCAGATCTATCACCAGGCTATCTGTCATATCATGATCAAAGAAAGGCTTCAGCTCAAAGCATGACATTTTCTTCAAACATTGACGTTGAAAGCGTTTATAAACCCCCATCGGAGTTGAAATATCCTGATGGGGAGCTGCCTACAAATCGGGCAGATTCCCCTGCGTCATCTAGTTCTTCTAATTCCGATTCTGATCTAAGTTCGCCATCCTTTAATCGCGACTCGGAATTTGATGCTAATAAAAAGGAAAAGCTTGAGAGACAGGCTACGAAGGTGGAAAACGAAGCAGAAGTGGAAAGAGATGAGGGTCTCAGTTTCGAATCTGACTCAAATTCGACAACTGTAAGAACTATTGTGAGCAACACTACAGTACAATCTGACAGTTCTTCTTACGATAGTGAAAAGCATGGAAACAATAAAATAACACGAAGGGTACATAAATTAATTCTGCATTTGACCAGTATGTGTAATAAATATATTCTTTACCACTTCCTGAAGGTACCACCAATTACACCAGCACCTCTTCAAAAGCAACCCAGTGTTGGCAATGTGTTTTCGAAAACATCTAGCGTGGGTTCTTCAGGCAGCCCCAGTCCAGGTCCTCTTCACTCGGCTAGCAGTACTAATAGCGGGATTACAAGACAAAGTTCACAAGGGTCCTTGTTTGAAAGGTTTGCTACTGAAGCTAAAGAGTTAGTTAGGGAAACAACTAGACAGAGCAGTCAAGATGGAATCTTGGCCCAAATGGACAAGGTAAATTCTTCTTCTAATGACTTGAATTTATTTTCTACAACTAGATCTACACAAGTCTTGCACACGTTGAAAGTTTGTTTTAGTTATTTCTTGTTTCCTCCTTTCTGCTAAATACATGTTTTAATTTAACAAACATGAAACAACGGTCTGAAATTTTGTTTACTCTATTTTATTTGTATAAACTTAAAATCGTCTTGCCTTTGATCATAATTTCTTGACGAATTTTCATTATTATTTAGTGAACATACCGCGAACCAGTCGAATAAACAATGTTATTATTCCAAGAGTCAGTTAACAACAGCACCACTTCAATGCATTCATACTTGTTGAGACTTTTTTAGTTTCCACGTCCATAAAATATAATTAGGTGCTAATTATATTTGATCTAGTTAAACACGCATTCTAAAGTGAAAATGAGATTTTAGGATTGGATTTAGGTGACGACATTAGACTTATTTACATTAAAATTTTATCAGTTTTTTATTACTTTTTGGAAGAGTCAAACAAGGAACTCGTGCATCAATATGATTAAATAAGCCTACACCAGTATAATGAAGAAATAAAATTGAATATCTTGTGCTCTATAGAAGATCCTTAAGTCGCATGTTTTGCACGAAGCATTGTAAGTAAAATGGATTCTTATGCCGGTCGTTCTTTGAATGCGTTTCCGTGGGAACTGCGTTCGCCAGAAATCGGGCGAATTATTTCATCATATTCGCATACATATGTGGATATCGTCCACTGGAAGTTTTTTTTATCGTACCAATTGGTCATGTGTTGTTCTGTATCAAATAAGCACATTTAAACAGAGTAATTATTTAATAATCAGCGTAATTATACAACTTTTAATAACAATGGATGATTTTTTCTTGGAAAATAGTTATGTTGTGAGTCGACGATTACAGTTGAAAAGAAAAAAACTATTGGGTTGTTGATATATTAGCAACAAAGAGTAAAATTGGCAGAATTCTTGGGCGAAAAAACTACCCGTCTTAACTTCACAACCCGGTTCGAAATAAGAGCCAAAATTGGCTTACGTACTTTAACAGGCAGACAAAAAAACTTCGAACAAACGAACAGCTGAATAATATATATGAAAAACGCCACAAATAAGGGTGTTGTCGCGCTCACAAAAGGCTACCCGCTATTTGCGCTACGACGGTTCTATTTCCAAAGAAACTGGTTCCGGGCTTTTCCCATACTGATCAATTTATTTCAATCAGAATTGGTTCGTTACAACTTACAACTTGTCTTTTTGTTAAGTCAAACTGAAACTTTCACTGTCAACTGTCAAGAGTCACCAAAACGGAGAATTTTTCTACCTGCTCTCTTAACAATAGTTTCCATAGTTTCCGACATACTCCCACCTGAGGAACTAAGTGTACGATAATGTTCCTCAACAACAAAAGGATACATCAAAACTTTACAACATAATAATAAGAACAAAACTAAACATTTATGTTCAAGAAATAACGACAGGGATATTTTCCTACAAATATCTGACTTTTTGCCCTGACAACTTATTATTAATTACACATGGAGACAAACCGCTACAGCTAGTATTCGCTTTCAGAGAAGCACCAGATTCTCTGATATTAACAATCGGAGGAAGTTCTTCCGGGATGTATATCGTCTGCCTTTCCTTGGCATTCACATCATCTTCGGTAGCTCGATATTCTAAGAGGAGAAGCTTCTGGATGGGTCTCAACAGCTCTCCACGAACTGTTTTAACTTTCACTACTCGAACTTGACCATCTTGACCTGCTAACAGTTCTTGAACTCGACCCATTGGCCAATCAATACGTTTTGTGTTGTCATCCCCGCTCAAAATCACGTCTCCCATCTTGACGGCACGACTACTCCGCTTTTGGTTCAAAATCTTTAATTGCCCGAGGTATTCAAGTCGGAACCGACTCCGTAAATTATCCCGCAATCTTTGTTTGTTCCGCGCACTACGAGATAGGTCCTTTTCGATTTCGTCGCAATCAGGCATATTATCATTAGCTAAGTCCCTTAAAAACATTGCGGGAGTTAGCGCGATCAAATCGCTCGGATCAGTTGAAAAATATGTCAAAGACCTAGAATTTACTACACTCACACTCGCATACCAAAGTCAAAAGTTCCTCGTAATTTAAACACGAACGACCAAGAACGCGACGCAACAGTCGCTTAACCATGCCAATGAGTCTTTCGAATAATCCTCCCCACCACGCCGCGCTGGGAGGGTTGAATCGCCATACTATGCGTTGGGTTGACGTCTCCCGCAGTATATGCTCCCACTGCAAACTCGCAAAACCATTTTCAGCCCCTCTGAAAATTGTCACTGTATAGTCTTCGGTCTACCGCGACGTGCCTCGAAACGGCGAAGAACCTGTAAGAAACCTGGGGTTGACAAAGATAGCGTAAGTTCCATATGCATTGCTCGATAAACCGCACAAGTAAACAAGCAGACCCAGGCCTTTTGTCCCGATTTGAAAAACAACGGTCCGGCGAAGTCTACTCCGGTGATCTCGAAAGCGACTGCATCACGCACGCGATCCAATGGTAGAGGAGGGTTCTCCACTGAAAACGACTTTGCTTCAAATCTCCTACAAATGGTACATTTTTTCAATATGGACTTGATGCTTCTTCTGCCACCCAGAATCCAATACTTCTCCCACAAATTAGCCAAAAGTCCTTGGGTACCCATATGGCATAACTTCACATGTGTATCAAAAATTAAACAT